GCATTGCGTCCCTAAAAAGGGTGGAATGACTGTTGTCAAAAATGAAAAATATGAACTAATCCCTAATAGAACTATAACTGGTCATAGAATGTGCATTGATTATAGGAAGTTAAATGCTGCATCTAGGAAAGATCATTTTCCTTTACCATTCATTGACCAAATGCTTGAACGTTTAGCTAATCATCCATACTATTGCTTTCTTGATGGATATAGTGGTTTCTTTCAAATACCAATTCACCCTAATGATCAAGAAAAAACCACTTTCACATGTCCCTACGGAACTTTTGCTTATAAGAGAATGCCATTTGGTTTATGCAATGCTCCTGCAACATTTCAGAGGTGTATGACCTCTATATTTTCAGATTTAATCGAGGAGATGGTGGAGGTTTTCATGGACGATTTTTCGGTCTATGGCCCCTCTTTCTCCTCATGTTTGTTGAATCTTGGCAGGGTATTGACCAGGTGCGAAGAGACGAATCTTGTTCTCAATTGGGAAAAATGTCATTTCATGGTGTAGGAAGGCATAGTGTTGGGTCACAAGATATCAGAGAAGGGTATAGAGGTTGACAAAGGAAAAATTGAAGTGATGATGCAGTTGCAGCCACCAAAAACGGTGAAGGACATCAGAAGTTTCCTTGGTCATGCTGGGTTCTACAGAAGATTTATTAAAGACTTCTCCAAGATAGCCAGGCCGTTAACCAGACTATTGTGCAAGGAAACCAAATTTGAATTCGATGAGGACTGCCTAAAATCATTTCACACCATCAAAGATGCTTTGGTATATGCTCCCGTTGTTCGAGCGCCTAATTGGGACTACCCATTTGAGATCATGTGTGATGCATTAGATTACGCAGTAGGAGCTGTTTTAGGCCAGAAAATAGATAAGAAGCTTCATGTCATATATTACGCCAGCCGAACGTTGGATGAAGCTTAGGGAAGATATGCAACAACTGAGAAGGAGCTTCTAGCTGTTGTATTCGCATTTGAGAAGTTCAGAAGCTATTTGGTTGGATCAAAGGTCACTGTGTATACAGACCATGCAGCTTTGAGGCATCTGTATGCCAAGAAGGATACTAAACCAAGACTGTTGAGATGGATACTTTTATTGCAAGAGTTTGACATGGAGATAGTAGATAAGAAAGGCTTTGAAAATGGTGCAGCTGACCATCTTTCAAGGATGAGAATTGAAGAACCCCTTCCGATAGACGATTCAATGCCAGAAGAGCAGCTCATGGTTGTAGAGTTCTTCGGAAGGAGCTACAGTGGAAAAGAGTTCCACCAACTGAATGTTGTTGAAGGAGAATCTCCATGGTATGCTGATCACGTCAATTACTTGGCATGCGGAGTAGAGCCTCCCAACCTGACAAGTTATGAAAGGAAGAAGTTTTTCAGAGACATACACCATTACTACTTGGATGAGCCTTATCTTTACACTCTCTGTAAAGATAAGATCTACAGGAGATGTGTCTCAGAAGATGAAGTGGAAGGTATCCTGCTGCATTGCCATGGCTCAGCATATGGTGGTCACTTCGCGACGTTCAAGACAGTGTCCAAGATTCTTCAAGCGGGCTTTTGGTGGCCAACAATGTTTAAGGACGCTCAGGAGTTTGTTTCAAAGTGTGATTCATGCCAGAGAAAAGGCAACATCAGCAGAAGAAATGAGATGCCTCAGAATCCAATCTTGGAAGTTGAGATCTTTGATGTATGGGGGATTGATTTTATGGGTCCATTCCCATCTTCATACGGTAACAAATATATACTGGTCGTCGTAGACTACGTATCCAAGTGGGTCGAAGCTATTGCTAGTCCTACCAACGATGCAAAAGTTGTGCTGAAGCTGTTCAAGACCATAATCTTCCCAAGATTTGGAGTTCCCAGGGTAGTAATCAGTGATGGCGGGAAGCATTTCATCAACAAGGGTTTTGAGAACCTCTTGAAGAAGCATGGAGTAAAGCACAAGGTCGCCACTCCCTATCATCCACAGACAAGGGGGCAGGTTAAGATCTCCAACAGGGAGATAAAAACAATTCTGGAAAAGACTGTTGGGATTACAAGGAAAGACTGGTCTGCAAAGCTAGATGATGCGTTATGGGCTTACAGAACAGCCTTCAAGACCCCCATTGGTACAACTCCTTTCAATCTTCTCTATGGAAAATCATGTCACCTACCTGTTGAGCTCGAGTACAAAGCAATGTGGGCGGTAAAACTTCTGAACTTTGACATAAAAACTGCTGAGGAGAAGCGATTGATCCAACTCAATGACCTCAATGAGATCCGTCTAGAAGCTTATGAGAGCTCTAAAATCTACAAGGAGAGAACCAAGCTTTTCCGTGACAAGAAGATCATCACTAAGGATTTCCAGGTTGGTGATCAGGTGCCGCTGTTCAACTCTCTCTTGAAACTTTTTCCAGGAAAACTTAAATCCAGATGGTCTGGCCCCTTCTGTATCACTAAGGTCCGTCCTTATGGAGCAGTCACTCTAGCTGGTAAGAGTGGAGACTTCACGGTAAATGGTCAAAGGCTCAAGAAATACTTAGCAGATCAAATCCTTCCAGAGGTAACATCGGTTCATCTCCAGGAACTTCTTGATGATTAAAGGAGTAAAGGAGTCAAGCTAATGACTTTAAACAAGCTCACTTGGGAGGAATTCCCATGACTATCTCTGTAAATAAATTTTTATTTTCTTGTTATTTTTGATTTGTCTTGGTTGTGTTTGTGGTTCTCAGGAACAAAGGAACAATGTGGAGATAGAGTAAAAATTCAAAACTGTTACTCTACAGAAGACCTGGAGATCGAGTGTATAGCCCGTTGGAGTACAAAATTTTGAAAATCTTCTGTTACACCTAGAGACCTTGCACTCGAGTACATTGGTCGAGTATGTGTGATGTTTAAAAACCTAAAACTTTTAAATCATCATCTTACTCGACCAACAGAAGCTACAGATACTTGCAGGGATTTCATGCAGTTTACAGTAAGTTTTCTGCAAATTTTCTCAGTCAACAGATTGTGGGCCACGCGCTGAGGATAAGCTGGAGAGATAATCTAAAACTCAAACTCAACCACTCTTTTTGAAACTTCACTCGACTTAACCATATCCACTCGACCTACCTCTTTTCATCTCACCACCGACACTCCAATTTCTCTACACCACGAATCGCCGCCCAAATAACTACTCGATCTAGAATAAATCACTCGACCTCCGCGAATCACTTGACCTCCCCGCCGCCGTCACCATTTCATTCCCTCCGTCCCTCGACCAGACCACTTCAATCAATTCCTTAGCTATACTAGACCAATTCATCCACATCAACCGCCGTCTCTTTCAAAAGAAGCTACTCGACCTCGTTTCCCAATCTCGTAGCCGCACTCGACCGACGCCGCCTCAGCCGATTTCAAGAATTCACTCGACCACCATAAAGCACTCGACCCCTGCAAAAGCAACTCGGCTTCTTGTTCTTGAATTCAACAGAGCTTTTCAACTTCAGAGAAGTTACTCGACCTCTAGGCTTCACGATTCACTCGACCTACTAAAGCATTCCAACTCGAATTCGGAGAAGATACTCGATCCAATTCGTCTAAGGGGAACTCAAGAACAGCTCAGTCTACTCGAGTACAGAATTGTACTCGATCAATAGGGTCTATTTCATTGCATATTGATAACAATTTTGGTTTCATTGCTATCTTTGAGACTAACCTATTGACATTTGAGCTTTGAGTTCTAAATTTTTACAGGGGAATCATGAGCAATTACAGTGGCAGTTCTTCTGTTGATCCTGACTACAACATGGATGAGACAGAGTCGTCATCTTCAAGGCCTGAGAGAGAACAAAGAGAATATGAAAGGTTCAGAAGAAAAGCTGAGATAGCCCGAGGGAAGAGAGCGATGACAGAGAGGTATGAGCTTCTAGACGAAGATCTGGAAGACGAGTACATGCCTGAGCATACTCGCACAGCTACCAAACTTCTGCACAAACCCGACGTATTGCCTGCTGAGGAATATATTCGCCTCTTCAAGTTGAATGAGTTCTGTAGCACGAGGTATCCTTGCTCGACTACACTTGCACAACTCGGATTGTTGGAGGATGTTCAGGACCTGTACCAGAGTTGTCATCTGGACACTCTGATGGCTTATCCGTATGTAGCATATGAAGATGAGATAATTCAATTCCTCTCCACGCTGCAAGTGGAGCTCTACCAAGGTATGACCTCTGATGAGTTGGATTGTGAAGGATAGGGACTCTTGCGGTTCTGTGTGTATGGTCATGAGTATAGGTTATCAATCAAGCGCTTGGAAGGATTGTTTGGCTTCCCCAGTGGAACGGGAACTAAGCCCAAGTATGACAGAGAAGAGTTGAAAGACTTGTGGATCACCATTGGGAGCTCTGTACCGCATTCTTCCAGGTCAAAGAGCAATCAGATACGCAGCCCTGTCATCAGGTACTTCTAGCGTTCTATAGCCAATGTACTCTACTCCCGAGAGATCACAGGGACTGTTACTAACTCTGATATGGAGAGGATCGCAATGGCTCTCAAGGGAACTCTTCGCCAAACTAAGAATGGCATGTCTCTCCAAGGTGAAATCAATGACACACCTCTCTTTGTACTTCTTCTGATCCATCTGTGTGGATACAAGAGCTGGGCTGTCAGCAATAACCACAAGAGAGCGCTAGGCGCTTTGTGCATAGGTGGTGTTATGACACCGATTTTGATAGCTTGTGGAGTCCCAATCATTTCTGATGGACTCGAGCCGCGAGCAATGGATATCGAGCACCTACGTCACTGAGAATTCCTGGAGTTTGCAATGGTTGACGACTTGCACAGGTTCAGGTTTGAGCACTCTACAGACAAGAGAGCTAACATCCTTCTCCCTAGCCCTAAGGTTACACGGATAATAGAGGGAGATAACATTGATTTTCAGCCTGAGGTTGGACGCCTCTACTATGAGAACGCTCTGCCATTGGATGAGGATGATCTTCTAGAAGAAGCTGCTTTGGATGGGATGGATGAAGACAGAGCAGTGGAGTTCGACACTAGCATGTATCACTTTGGTGAACAAGAGCTTGAGTGAAGCTCATAAGAACAACAGTAAACTGTAGAAGTGGTGCAAGAAGCAGAACAAGCTGCTCGCCAAGTGTTTCAAGACTCTCAAGTTTCAGTAACAGTCCACTGCTATTCCACAGGGACAGCCTCCTCTGGAGATGCCATCGAGGAGATTTGATGAGCCTGAGCACAGGCGTGAGCTTAGCGAGCAGAGAGTCTCACATGTCCCGGCTAGGCATTCGTCATTCGAGTCCCGGGAGCACAAGAGAAGAAGGAAGGCTACACTCACTCGATCTAGCAGCAGATCACGCCTCATTCACTCGAGGAGGTCACTCGACCGCGGTGCTGGCCGCAGCAAAAGGAGAGAGGTCGAGTATCCTCAGAGCGGTGCTGACCGCCACAGACCTGATGAGGTCGAGTACCCACCTGCTGGAGCTGATACAAAACAAGGCGGTTTGTCTATGGCCTGGGAGCAATCACAGGCAGCCATTGACGAGCAACTACGTTCATTCTTCGACTGAGGTAAGCGCCTCACTTCACCATTGTATTATATCATCTGTTGTGATTTGTTTCTTCATTTTGTTTCTGTGATTGGATTTGTCCTGAGTACTCTTTTCCAAGTTTATTCGCACAGTGGACTGTGTGATTTAAGTTTGGGGGAGAGCTCAGGAAGTGTGTGTTGCATTGTATATATTCTTGAATCTGCATTCATCTAAGGCATAGAAAAAACAAAAATATTTGAAAAATTTCAGAAAATGATTTCACAAAAAAGGAGTGTTCATGTAGTTGCATTACATTTAGGATCGAGTCTAGAGTGTTTCATTTAGGATTGTTGCATATGCATAGGGGATGATGATGAGATAGCCTTGTAAGCATTTTGATTCACCGGATAAACTCAGTGCCCTCGTTGCTAGTTGTCTGTTGCGTAGTCAATGAATTTGAAATAAAACTGAACCATGCCTAGATTGCTCTACTCGACCACACTGTCATGATCTGATACCATTCCCTATCAATTTGAACCTAAATCTGATCTTTAATTATCATGTCTGCATCAAATTTGAACTCATGGATACCCTAAAATACTTGGATTTTCTTATTCATTTTGATCACTCTTGTTAATCCAAGTAGCTGACTCTCCTTATTAGAGCAGTTAACCCAAACCCAAACCTAGACTTTCTTTCAAGCCCTATATCACTTGTGAGTGTTTGTGAGGTCTTATTCCGATTAAGCTTGGTAGAAAGTGTTAGGTTCATAACGATAGAGATAGTGTCTCATGTAGTTCTAGTTCGCATTTTTCGGACTAGATAGGACTAGGTGGGCGCTTATACTTTGGGTTGGGATGTGTTTAAAAGAAAAAAAGGGGTCGATTCATTGATAAGAAAAGGTAAAAGACTCTAGGTGAAGTAAGCTAAAGAAGCAAAAAAAGTCTAGTAAAGGTTTTGGGATTTGTAAAGAAAAGAAAGAGTTCTTGTTAGCTATTGAAGATGGGCAAAAGCCCTTGGTTTTAGAATGTTAAAAAACAGGAATCTTAGTTGTTAAAGAAATCCAAATCCGCTAGATGTATCAAAGTGTTGAGAAAGCTTCTCCTAGAGTTAAGAGAAAAGAAAAGAATGATTAGAAAAAAAGGGGCTTAAAAGATTCATGAATGCAAAGGGTAGAGTTAAGTTCTTATATTAGGATTGGAGATGGGATTACCATTAGAGCTTCATTTGATGTACTCTGGGTAGATGGGATCTTATCTCTTTATGCATAGCTTGGGACTTACCTTTAGCATTCTACTAAAGCTTAATAATTTTTTGAGAGATCCCCTGTTACTGAAGCCTATTCTGTAAGGGACCATCTTTGTCTCTTGACCTATTACCTTAGCCAAATGAGTTCATTGATGATGCATTGCTTGATTCACGTTCCAGAACTAATGAATGTTAAAGGGATTGGCAGATTTGAAAACATGTGTAGGTCGAGCATATGAGTCCGATTGATTGATAATGAGGCATGGCTAACGTTTTTAAGTAGAATTCGATCTTGCAGCTTAGAACTTTTCAACTTGGACATTGATTTCATCTGGTTTATTTGGTGCTTTGGCTCTGAGTCCCCGCTTGATTGTTTGCTTGAGGGCAAGCAAAGACTAAGTTTGGGGGAGTTGATAAGTGTGTATTTAACATGTTTTAAGCATCCATTTGTCATCATTTTAGCATCATATCATCACTGTTTTATACCATTTCTCATCATTTATCATCACTTTACATGTTTAGGATAGGTTTGCATGCATGTTGCATATTTGTGTTGATTTCAGGTGATTTGGAGCTGTTGACGAGCTAACTGGAAGAAGTGGACCTGATCATGACAAACCACTCGACCTAGAGGGCGAGTAGGAGCTTCAAGATCTCAAGAGACCACTCGACCCCCAGGTCTTGTAGAAGACATCACCACTTCACCTCACCACTCGGCCACGAGGTCGAGTGTCCTCATCTCCATCACCTGACCATCACTCGACCACATCACTCGACCCTGAGGTCGAGTGTCTTTACCACCATTACCTGATCATCACTCGACCCCATCACTCTACCTGGAAGTCGAGTATCACCATCACCACCACTCGACTACACACTCGATGGCAAGCTTCAGATTCTTCTTCATTCCGCACTCAATCAGACACTCGAGCACAAGGAAGAAAAGAAGACTCCAACTATTCACTCGACCTCCCACTTGACCACATGAGTCGAGTACAGTTCTTAATCCGTCCCAATACTGCGTCGTTTTAAGTATTAGGGTTTCAGAATATTTGGCTATAAGTAGCATGTACTTCACATTTTTGCAAACAAGTTTTTTATCTAGTTTTATTCTGCAGACCTTGTGTTCTAGACCTTTTGTAATCCGGATTTCTCTTTATCTATTCAGTATTCAGTATTCAGCTTTTGGTCTTGCTTTCGTTTACTGTTGTTCATTCTGTTATCACCTTGCTGTTACACTGTTGTTATCATGTTTTCAGCTTGTTCAATGTTTATGCTTTCTGTTATAATGTCTGAGTAGTGAATAGGTTTATGAGGATGGGTTAGAGTAGTGTAGAATTCTCAGTATGCTAGGTAATTGAGTATTGATTGATAGATCCCTTCTGGATTAGTTGTTCTTAATGCCTATTGCTTTCCGATCAACTGGAATTTGAGCCCAGACATTTCCGCGCCCAAAAGGTGTTCGATGTAATGTCTGAACCACTAATTCCAGAGATTCGTGGCCCTGTACCAAGGTATTGGTTGTAGGGAGCGTTTTGGCTTTAACTTGTTGATTCGTAATGCCTGTTAGGTTCTCTCGTCAATGGTGATTGAGTATGGGACTAGGTTACCTGGAGAGTCTCTATTGCGGTGGCACTTAGATTTGGTTAATGAACTTGTTGTCTAGGGTTAATTTATTGAGCATGTCAATCACCTGTAAACTAAGGAAACGAAACTACTCAATTACCCCATCCTCAGGAATTCTTTATCTGATTGAATTCTTTGTTTACTCTACTGTTGTTTACTGCATCTTGTTATCTGTCACTTAATTTCTGCGGTTCTTTCTTGTTACTCGACCTCATACTCGACCACCCAGTTGTCTGGCAACAGACTGTGCAGTCTGTGTTTTATTTTCTGTCTGTTACTCGACCTGTCACTCGACCTCACCCAGTGCTCTACAAAGAGCTGTGTTGGTCGAGTGTTTTACTGTTTCTGCTTGAATTTCTATTTTCTGCATGTTCACTTAGAACTGGTAGAACACACCACAACCTGTTATTGCTTGGCTTGACTTAGTGACTTCTGATCACATCTTAATTGTTAGCATCACACCCATTTGGATTGACAACCTTCAGTACTACAACGACATGATAGTGCTTTAGGTTTAATTGACTAAAAAATCTATTATCAGATACCCACATAAAACAGGTCGGAGGTAGGGATGGTGTTGCATGTAGAGATCATAGCGGTTTTAGATTGGAAAAATTGGGGCTGTTCTGTTGGTGGAAACTTCAAAAAGATGGATGCGAACAAAAGCTGAATCGAAGGAAAAATCACCGTGCATTTCCTCTGCCCTCTGTCGATGGTCAATGAACGACCGAGGAAGGTAAACGATTGACGGTTGGGTTGGGATGATTAAGATAATAGCCAGAGCAAAATTAAAAATATGAAGAGATAACGAAAGAAGTGAAACGAAGAAGAGAAATCCCGACGCCGGTGAGCAAAAGCATCACCGGCGCCGGAAGGCGAAGCTAGGGTAGTCTCCTCGATGTTAGTGTCTGGGAGAGTCCTTAAGTTTATATAAAGTCGTCATTCTAAGACTTAGATTATCTCCAACTCCACTACAATATTCATCTCCAAACTCCTTCAGTTGATATTTTAATGTTGCTTATTGCATGGGTGAATGATTAGATAAATAAAAATTATATTTAAATTAAAAATAAAAAAAAATCCGAAAAGACCGCGGCGTAGTGCGGGTGATCACCTAGTAACAATAATAATTGCCTGTTTGTTTATCTTCTCGATCGCTTTACCTTATGTCTTGCCAGTTTCCTTATAGTAGAACGAACCAATGGGGAAACAAAACTATTTAAAAATAGATTCGTCCTCATTGTCATCATCACTCCATCCTCTGGTAAGACACCTACATCAAACATCCAAGGGTAAATCCTATCCTATCTAACATAATTGCCAAGGACGTGACCAGTTTCCTAATTTACCTTTGTGACTCTTTTGACTCCATAAAACATTCGAAAAATCATCCCACGTCCATGAGAGCAACATGAACCATGCTCTGATACCACCTTGTAACACTCCTACCCCGTCCTAGGACCAGGAGGGAATAGGAGCGTCATGTGGACGCCCGTAGTCAGCCAACCCAGGTTCCCGGAATGAATCCATTCACCCAAGCCGTCCGACCGCGAGTGTCGTTCCTCACAAACACGGCCTAAGGCTTTGTAACCCGTACCGCGGACGCGAGTTGTGATAGACTAAATATATCATTGGGGTTTTAATAAAATCAGATCTTTATAAAAATATCGAGTCTTACATACTATACGCAAAACTATATCTTACAAAGGCAAAACAAATCTACACTGGTTGGCCTAACGTCCTTTGCCCCTTAAGGTCTTCCTACTAAAGGTTGCCTTTTA